TTCCAAATATTTCAAAGTGGCAAGTTTATATTATAAATATAAATATATATATATATATCAAACGATCTCCCTTTAATTTAATAATTTATTTATCATCTATTTTTTTAAATAAAATAGGATTTGTACATGGTGAATATTTAAAAAACAAATAAGAATATATATTTTTTTAATAATCTAATACATTAATTGTAAATTATTATTATTGTAGCTGATCCTCATCCAGGAAATGTTTTTGTGAGACCACATCCTTTAAAAGGTGGCAAAAATTATCAAATAGTATTGATTGATCATGGCTTATATGTGGAAGAATCTGCATCATTTAGACAGCAATATTGCTTATTTTGGAAATCGGTAAGGTTAAAAGATTGTTTTTTTACATTATTCTAAATCAATCCATTATAAAATATTTTAATATTATCATTATTTAGTTATTTTTGATGGATACTGATGCTATAAATCAAATATGTAAAAACTGGGGAATTAATGAGCCTGAAATTTTTGCAAGTGCAACGTTGATGAAGCCTTATCAAGCCAACATAGCTTTACATATTACTTCCACGCAAGCTGTTACTTTACAAGATGCATATGAGATGCAAATGGCAGTAAAAGAAAGGATAAAACAGTTCCTTTCAGACACAGAACTTATTCCAAGAGAATTGATTTTTGTTGGAAGAAATATGAATATAGTAAGATCATTGAATCGAGAGCTTGGTAGTCCTGTTAACCGTATAAATATTATGGGAGAATGGGCGGCTAAAGGTCTTGGTCCCAAGTGGTCAGTTTGGAATGGTACTAATAGAAAATTGGGTTTTTCAGGAAATTTATCATTTATATTGGGACAATTTAGCTTTTTAATAAGTAGCAGATTTAATTATTGGTTGTTTAAAGGAGCTTTATTTTTAATATCACTAAGGTTTTATTTTAATAAAACTAAAGAGACAATTATTAAATGGATTAAAAGTGATAGTAAAACTAAAGGTTTTGAGGAAATTTTGGATGATCAAATGAAAAGATCACTGGAACAAAATTTCGGCGTTGTTTTGGATGAAAGAATTTTTGAGGGATGAAAAAAAATATATATTTTCACAATATTTATGAATTGATTGTTTATTAGATCATAAATGATTATTATAATAATAAATTAATGTCTATAATCTTATATATTAACATATATATAGAAAAACTCAAAAATCAAATTGATTTTTAAAATTAAATTCAATCTATAAAAATGGAATAAATTTGTATGTAATGATATAGTCTATTCAATCTAAATCTTCCTCGACAATAATTCCATCAACTTTTTCAACAACTTCATCAATCACGCTCTTTAAAATTTCTTTATTTTTTTCTCTGACTATAAAACTAATAATTACCCATCTATTATCATCACTAATCCATTTAGGATAACTGCCAATCTTTATATCCGAGTGTTTTTCTTGTAATTCAGTTAATATAGGAGCAATAAAACTTTCTGGTTGAAAGGTTTTAACAAAAGATCTAAAAAATTTCTCTCCCACTTTTAAATATTTTTGATATCCATCCAATAACCCACAAAATAATTTTGGTACACCAGGTAACACATGAATATTACTATTTACTATTATTATTGGTACCCATAATTTTGGGCTCGGATAGACCACTAATGATGGTGTAGGAAATAAAGCCATACGATTACGTGCAATAATTGTTTCTTGTGACAATTCTGTTGACATAGCTTTCAAAGATGGCGTGTTAGAATTAACATACATCATACGATCCAGTGTTTGTTGGTGAGGTGTTAATTGGAGATTAAAGGCTTTTGCAATTGTTGGGTATGTTATATCATCATGTGTTGGACCTTAACATATGTTGTACATATAATTTTAATAATCTATTTACATATATAGACGCATATATAATGAATGATACCAACCTATTCCTCCACTAGTAACTACAAGATCGAAATTATCGCTTAGTCTTCTTACGGCTTCAATTATCGTCTAACACACATATATATCTTTAGTTGATAATGTATTAATAACATTATTATTTGACATTATTTTCTGAGATAAAAGATTAATTAAATTTACTTGTTCGTCATCAGGAATAACCTCTATTTTTTTCAAATCAATTCCTAAATTAAAACAATATTTTGCTTTAAAAAAAAAAAAAAAGATATCAAAATCATTAGACGTAATTTATCTTTTTTTAAAGGGTATATATACTCAAAAAAACAACAAATATATACCAAAATATCCTGAATTTGTATCAACAGTTTTTCCATAAAGTATCTCATCACCAATTATTAGGCATGCAGAAGTTTTTGGAAACGGGCGATCCTTTAACTCAGATATTGGTGTTATTGGCAGATTAAATTTTCTATTATAATCATCATCAGAAGACATTTTGAAAGTGTTTATGAATTTTTTAGCAAAGATATTTACGGTGTTTTTTTTCGAAAATTTTATTATTGATTCTTTTAGTAGCTGTTTTTATTTTATAAAAAGTTTTATTTATTTAACCAAAGAATATAAAAAAAATAATATAAAGAATGAATGACCTACAAATCTTGAATTAGTAATTTGTCTACAGATAACGAATGGAGAGGAAAAGAACATGATTATTATTATTTATTTCAAATCGAAAATTTTTCAACATCTCAAATTTTGACGTAGTACAAACGTACATCCAAACTATACGAAAAATAATGAAAATAAAATCGTAAGGTTTTTTGTTCTCGATGGTGGAAATGTGAATTATTACTATTTTCATAATCATTGACATTGTCGTTTTGATCTAATTCTTATAGGAAATGTATTGTAATATACCCAAACTAAAATGAAACGCAAAATATTTACAACAAGATGGTACGCGCCACACAAGAATAATGCTCCATTGCATTTGGTACCATTACGCTGCATTAAAAGCCACATCTACCAATATATGGTGTTATTGCTACTGTTGCTACAACTGAGGCGACACCAGGATTTGATTTGCTTAAAAAGGAGCTGTTAAAGAAGGAAGAATGACCACCACAAACTCAGTATTTGGGAAATATGGCTGAACATATTTAATGCATTATTAAGATCTTTAGTCTCGTTGAATTCCACATGTGTTATTCAGTAATTCAATTATATAATTAAGAAAACCATTACTATTACATCCCCCCCAGAAAAATTAATACATTACTTCAATACATAATAAAGGAGGTGGAGATGAATGAATGATAGGCACAAATCTTTGTTGGCGTGTCGGTCGTTGATTCCATCTTCCGACATCATCGGGTCGAAATTCATTACCATTAACTACAGACACCACACAAATTTGGAATTAGTTGACGAAGTGAAACCTTCAACGCATCATGTACAACTGAGTAATACAAAGATCAGCATATAACTATAAGACAAAAATGATACTTGTCAATTCTTTCGGCTTGTGAATAGTTTCAAAAACTTTCTCACGTTTGTTAATTTTAATAGGTTGCAAATCTATTTCTGTGTCATCCATCTTTGGACGCATTTTTCTTCGCAAGTTTAAACTCTTTCTCGATTTGAGTAATGGCTCATCTAAAATCATAAAATCTCCGCAACCGCGACAATCTGATTGTTACAAAATGAATCAAATTCGATTAACTACATACATTTTCTTTGTATTTGTTCTTTAGATCTAGAAGAAGAAGTCATGGAAGGAATACGTTTAAAAAGTGCATGTCCATCAATTTTTTTGTAGTGATTGTAAAATTATTACTTTTATTAACTCTATATCTAAAACTTTTTAATTTAAAAATGGGATGTCTTTTTTCGTATCACATACGCCCATTTCGGAGATTAATATCGCTACAGCTTTATATAAACGGGTGCGATAAAAAATTTCATGGAGATACTTGAAATGCGTTGAATATTGTGTCTATAGAGAGATTAAGGATTCTTAACGGCTTTGGAACTGGAAATGTTTTGAAAAAGTTCTTCTGAAAAATGTAATTATTTTATGGTTTTCTTACGACTCCAGTGGTTGAATCGAGTAGTTGCGTCTCCATAGCATATATTGCCATGGGCTCGTCAACAGTAGCTGTTTATATACAACAACATTATACGCTGAAACATGAATTTAACTCGAGATTATGAAAAATGTGATTGATTATATATACAAACAATTTGATTATTTAAAAGGACATTCTATTGTTTTTAAAGTTTAATATTTAATAGTAAGTGATATTGGTATATTTGAACAGATACGAAAAATTCATAATACAGTCAAATCTCGTCTCGTCGAATCTATGGGACGCATAAAAAATTGCATAATTACTAATTGCGTTTCAACGAATTTATGTTTTTATTTGTGAAGCAAAAATATTAAAAATTCGTTCGTTGAAACGCGATTAGTAATTATAATTCGTTGAAACGAGGTTTGACTGTAGCTTTTAAATATTGAAATACTAAAATATATATTTTTTTTCAAAAGCTTTTGTATCTAACGAACGTTTCCACCAATATAGTAAATTATTTTATATGATAAAATAGATTAGTGAAGACATTATTGATTCTGTATATGAATGATTTCTGCAAGTATTTGAATTAAAAATTACTAGTTTTATGGCTAATGAACTTATATTAAATGATTGATCAAAGCTGATAGATTAATCACTATCCTTTTGCCAAAAAGCAAAGTTTTGTAATCGTTATATTGGCCGAGACCAAACTCTTTTTATATTTTATTATTCATACAATTATACACCTTTTTAGATTTAAAAATAAATTATTATATAGATAATTCTCTATATATTGTTATTATGATTTAAAATAATTAAATTCCTCAACACTTCAAATTCTTCAGAACTTTTACACATTTTGTAAAATAAAGAGTTCTGATTTTTTACAAGATTGTATGGACTATGAGCATATATATATATATATATATATATAAATGAACATTTTATTTTTAAAAAAGAAAACACGCGAATTGATTAGTAAATAATAGTTAATAATAAATACATATAATATAAAAATTAAATTTCATACCTATCAAATTCTACAATTCTTCCCTCATCTAATAGTAATCATAATAAATAATATAATTCATGTTATAAGTAAATAATAATAACAAAAAGAATAATAAATAATATAACTTTCATAATTCTTACCAATAACCAGGATTCTATCATAATCAATAACTGTCTTTAACCTATGTGCAATACATAATATAGTACAATCAACAAGCTCACTTTTAATCATTTCTTGAATCTTTTTATCCATTTGAAAATCGATGCTAGGAAAAATTTATATAAATAAAAAAATTTCTAATAACAATAGCTTTATATACACACACTCATATAACTACCTGGCAGTCGCCTCATCCATTAAAATAATTTTAGATCTTCTTAATAAAGCTCTTGCAAGACATAATAATTGTCTTTGTCCTTGACTAAAATTTTTACCCCCTTCGTTTACAGGCGTATCAAAATTATTGAAAACGTTAATGTTTTCACTAAAATTTTCAACATCCTCATCTTCATCATAATCAATCTCATCACCACTACCACTACCATTGTAATATTTAGATGATAATAAATGTACTCTTTTCAATGCCTCATAAATTTCTTCATCGTCATATTGTGATAATATATCTAAATTGGATCTTATTGTGCCTAGTAATAATAACAATAATGATAAATTAACGAGAGAAATAATCAATAATGCTTATTATTATTATATTACTTGCCAGTAAATAATATGGGATCTTGTGGTATGAATGTTATTCTTGTTCTAAGATCTTCAACTCCAACTCTAGAAATATCAATACCATCAACTATAATTCTACCTTTTGTTGGCTCCAAAAATCTAAGTAACGATAATGTTAATGTTGATTTTCCTGATCCAGTTCTGCATATAGATCATAAATGTCATTTATTTATATTTACATGTTATATTATATATAATTTACGTTGTATTTGTGTATCAATATCCTTCTCATAGATATATAAATATACCACTCTCATACATGTACATACCTTCCAACAATTCCAATTTTCTCTTGTGGATAAACGTGAAAACTTATATTCTTTAATACAGCATCCAAATCATCATCATACCTCACCTCCAATCTCTCCACCACAATCTCTCCACTAAATGGCCAACTTGCAGGTGGTCTAGGTTCAATTATTGCAGGTGGTTCTTGTTGTTGTAAATTGATGAATTCGCTAATTCTTTCGACAGCATTCAAACTAACTTCCAATTGTGTATATTTTCTTACACTCCACATAATTTGTTCTGTGAAATGAATAGCAAATGTCAACGAGAGACCAGCCAGACCTGCATCAATCGAATCAAGATTATATAAAATTAAAAGTCCTGCAAGAAATGTTATAAATGATCCAGTGATATTGTATCGAATTTGCAACCATCTTTTTATTATCCATCCATAGAAAAATGGTCGACTATTTGTATCTATTCTGTATTATATATATGTATGTATACATAAAATATTATTAATTCATTAGTAATAAATTCCTATATATAATATAATAATAATATCATTATGTTGAAATTAAAAATGTTACCCAGTTAACATTTCTTTCATAAATCTTTTGGTAGCACCAAATGCTCTAATTGTTGCAATCCCACTAAAAAAATTAAATTTTTTTTTTAATAAGAAATTAATAATAAAAACTCACCCACACATACACATTCGCATATGTTTATATATACTAACACTAGGGTCTCGGTGAAATGTGAATATATTGGTGATCTTGTAATTGAATCCAATCTTTTGAGTTCTCGTGATGTTTTTGCATATAAGGTTCCAACCCATAAATAAAAAAATCCTTAAAGACATGCATGAAAATTTATAGATTTATAAATAAACAAATTAATTGATTTAACAAAACAAGATATCTTTATAATAAATAGTCTCCTACCAACTAATATTGCAATAATAATAAATTCTATAAAAAGTAAAAAATACAAGTTTAAAAAATTTTGTAATAAAAACGTTATAAACAATGTATTTGCATGTAACAAATAAATTACCAAATGATTAATTACCTTTTGTGATAACTGTAATAACCAAAGTTGTGCCAACAACCATTAAAAGCTATTTTAAATGTTAAAAAGAAAAACATACTCAGTAAGCAATGAAAATCATAATTGTTTGCTCTCCCCTTCATTATAATTACATTGTTTATGAACCATGCGAAATGTCCTTTTTGTTTAATAATAATTGTTATTAATATTAATAATAAAATGCAATAATGAAGTAAATAACATAATGCAATAACTAATAATACCTGATAAATAACTGTCTACTGCTTCAAAATCTTTACCAAACCTATTTAGTAATCTACCAACAGGTGTCTTATCAAAAAATCTGAGTGGTGCTTTAATCACTCTGTGTAATAATTTTTTATGCAAGATCCTTGAAGCTTTCAATGATCCACGATAAAGCCACGCAAATCTCGCTACGCCTAAAACCATCGAGGATAATGTAATCAAAACATAAAGTCCAAAGTAATAAGCAACATCATGTTGTTTGTCATTGCCATTATCAACGTCGAAGTTATTGGTATGGTTGTTTAATAAGAGATTATCTGTTATAACTTTATAGGATGAATTGTCAAGATGAAGAACACCACTTCCACTCGATACTAATTCATTTTTTTCATTTGCTGATGACCATTGTTTAAGCCACCAACTGCCTAAAATTTGTAAACATCTTGTACCAGCAAACAATAACGTTGCCATCATCCAATATAGTATATGTCCATTAGCGCTCAAATAAATTCCATAAACACTCAACTTGACCGATCCAACCGCTCTTGCTAATCACAATAAATAAATAAATAATCATATACAAGTATAATAATTATTTACATATTTAGAGAAATGTATGTACCTTCTTTTTCAACAAGAACTTTAGGTTTTTTATTTTTATTTGACAATCTTATATCATTGAATTGAATTTGAGGATCTACGACAGTTATAGATGATGCGGTGGAAGGTTCGGCAGCGTGAGATGAATAAAATACTTTATGTTGCTCGTCATCAATTTTGTCATATATTTCATTGTCAACAACAGGATCCATTATTTCACTATCATCAACTCCTTCAAGAATAAATGACAAATGACTAAAGTCTTGAAATTCAGATGGTGATCCATTAAAAATAACCCTGCCATTTTTCAATCCAACCTAAATAAATTAAATAAATTAAATTAAAAATCCGCGTGTTCTTGTTAACAAGCAAGTAAGTTGATTTCCGTTATGTGCCAAGTAACATACCAAATAAGATGCCGCAGTTAAACATAATCTAACATGATGAGTCACAAGGATCCGTGTACGGTTTTCCATTAAAGGACCCAATAAACACTCTTTCATTATATGTCTAGCGGTGTGTACATCAACAGAACTGAATATATCATCAATCAAGATATGTTTTGCTCTAGAATAGACAGCCCTTTATACAAATCAAAAATCAATCTAAAATTTAATGATGAATTGAATCAAATTTTTTATAATTTTAATTTTAATTTTTATGCATAAAAAATTTTTTACCTGGCTAAAGCACATCGTTGTTTTTGTCCACCGGACAACGTGATGCCTTTTTCTCCAATTTCAGTTAAATCACCATCTGAAAAAGTCAAAAAATCTTGTTCTAACGCGCAAACCCCTATGACTTCATTATAACGTGTTTCATCATATGGTAGCCCAAACAAAATGTTATCACGTATAGACAAATTTTGTAACCATGCTTGTTGTGCTACGTATGCAACACCATTTGGTAGAATCCAGTCTGATGAATTGATGTTTGTTTTGAATTGGTTGATTGGTGATCTCGGACAATATATCATTCCATGTCTTAAATTTGTTTCTGATGGTCGGTTGGGAAGCTTACTTTGTTAGATGGGTGATTTATTTTCTTTGAAAAAAATCAATAATATATATATATTCACCTCCAAGAAGAGACACCAGAAGCATTGTCTATTTTATGGACAGATTAAATTGTGATGGATCAATCATCTATAAAATTCTAAAATAAATATGTACACGTATAAAACGTATATGTAAACAAGCCATACCTTTCCAGATCCAGTGGGCCCACCTTTGTATACAAAAATCATTAGCGATTTTAAAAATTAAAAAAAAACAAACCTATTTGCCAATTTACAAATTAAATACTTACAAATTATGCTTAATTCGCCAATAGGAAACTCAAGATTCAAATCTCTCATAACAAATAGCATTCCATCACCATCAACAGCAGCATTTTCATAATCTTCCACTTCATCATCCTCGTCCTGGTATTCTTGAATTTCTTCTTCGTTAATATAAACAGCATTATTATTCCAAGTGACAGTAGCATTTTCAAATCCAATTATTTGCTCAGCTAAATTATTCAAATAATGCTCCGGATCCAAATATTCAATTTCATCTTCATCCAAAAAACGATCAATACGTTCCACACTAATCAATACTTGTAATGCTTTCATTATGGTTTCAGGTAAGAGATTGAATGTATATTGTAATTCATTAAAGATCATGATTGTAGTGAATGCCACAGGAACTGTTAATGTGTTTCCTAATATGATCGTGTACATGAAAAACACAGAAAGTGTGATAAAAACAGGTGTAGATATCCACAACAAATCAAATAAAATTTGGTAAAGAAATGATTTTTTTAAATGTTTAATTTCTTGCATACGAACATCTATGATAAAAGAGTAAATGAGCGAGTAAATAAATAAGTAAATATATTCACTATTGCCACTTAAATTATTCTCCTAAAAAATTTTTCAAAAATACCTAAAATTCTATTTTCTAAATTTCTTTCCCATGCAAAATATTTGATCATCCTTATTCCTTGAAGAATCTCATGCATCAAGTTGACACGGTGATCTCTCCACTTCATAAGTCTTTCTTGAACCAGAGAATAACGCCTGGCTGCAGCTTGATTTATAGGAAATGTGATAGCGAGCACCAATAATCCAACAAGACATGATAAACCCAATAACTCGTATAAAAAAAAGAACCCAATAAACAATTCAATAGGGCATTTTATAATTTCACTGTAAGTTTCAGAGAATCCATAAATTTGTGATGCATCAACCGCCATTAAATTTGTGATTTTACCAATTGATGCTGTCTTACTTGGTTCTTCTGATTTACTAATAGCAGCAGCATCATTACTCATGTTGATCTTTTGATCATTGATAATTTTATTATTGGATTTCGATCCACGAGAAGAAGAGGTGGCGACTCTTTTCAAGCTTTTAGAGTAAATTTCGGCAGTTAACATTCCTTTAAGTCTAATCTGTAAAATACCAGTACACCAATACCTACTTTGTGCAATTATTAATTGTAAAATGATATTGGCCAACAAAATACCAATTAAATAAATAAATCCCCATTCCAATGCCTCACTACGATCTTCTAATTGAATGGCCTCTAGAAATCTATATACGAATACCATTGGAGTATAAAACAAAGCAGCCATAGCAATTGAAAAAGAAATTTGAATTATAATAACGCTTTTATTAGCTTTAAACAATCTAAATAATAATCTACTACCACGCCATTTTTTGATTTTATTATACAATGTTGAAGCTCTATATTCGTAAGATAACGCATCCAAATCTTGATCATCTAATTTTCCTTGGTTGTGTGCACGATGCATTAATGCACTCAATGTTGAAAATAACAAAAAATCTAAGAGAGAACAATAACTAGTAGCAAATACTAGTCTGCCATCAGGTTGTACTAAATGTGGGCCTCTTGGAGTTGTCAGTGTAATATAGGCAGCTACTGCTGATAATATTATATTTACTATGGCAATAGAGAACTCAATTAGGTATGTCACATGATCAGAATGAATTTGATGAATAATTGTGCGTATATGCCATAATGAAGAGATTGTTGAAATTGTAAAGAAGATTGATAAATGAATGTTTAAAATCCATTTTTTATTTGAAGATTGTGAAAATAAAGTAATTAATGATAAAGTGATAGCATAGCACTATGGTAAATGTGAGGAAAATTCATAGTTAGTAAAAAATTTTTGTTGAATTTTTATATCATATTTTTAAAAATTATTATCATCATTTACCCAACACAATGACATTAAAATCAAATAAATAAGATAATTAACATCTCCCTCATAATCATCGTCATCATCGTCATCATCAATTTGTGCAAATTCCCAACCTAATAAAAATGCATAAAATCCAGTTTGTAATAAACATATACTGAGTTTTATAATATCTTTTTTAAAAATAGACGGAAGCCTTCTATCATTTTCAACAATGTCATCATTTTGATCAAAGACATTTATATCTTGATTAAATGTAACTTGATATTTAATTTTAACATATTGAAAAAAAAGAATCAAACTACTGATTAAAACAACTACTAATTGAGGAATAGAATCTATCAATGTCATGTTTGATTAAAGAATCTAAAATCAACATTATCTTGAAATCTGAAATTTAGTCTTTGATTATCTTGTACAACAAACATACTTTAACAATATGATTGGGCTCATTATACTAAAGGGTCAAAATACCAATACACAAACAATGAGGTCATTTATTTATATTATCAGATACTTTGAATAACTTATTGCTGCGTCCTACTTATCAAGTTTGGTTCGAGTTAATTAATTATAAAGCAGGCCAAAAACAAAGTTATAGAAATCATGTGAGATGTTATGCAAATAAATTTATTATTATTAATTAAAATTCGGGACAAGTTATTTTTATTTATTTAAATAAACAACAAACAAACAAATTTTCTTGAAATCTTCTAGGAAGTTGACTCTTTCAAATAAGAAATTATATCATTACGATCCTGTTCCTTCTTCAATCCGACAAATGCCATTTTAGTACCAGGAATATATCTATCAAATTAAATTAAATAAATAAAATAAATTTGTCGCTCATGATATCCCAATAATAATAATTAATCACTTACTTTTTTGGATTTTCAAGATAATCAAATAATGTATTTTCATTCCAAATTACTCCTTTATTTTTATTAGCATCCGTATAAAGGAATCCAGAAACGGTGCCAGATTTACGACCAAAAAGTCCATGAAGATTAGGTCCTACTTTGTTGGGTCCTCCCTTTTCAACTGTATGACATTGTGCACATCTAGTTTTAAAACTAACAAGAAATAATAAGATTATCATTATTATCATGACAATATTGAGAGTAATCATTATCTTTAGACTGTAATTAAATGTCATTGATGTTAATACTTACAGGCTGGCACCTTTAGTAGCTTGGGCTTTTGCTAAATAAAGATAAATATGATTATTATTAATATTTAAGAGATCAATAATTATTTATACAATCATTCCATGATATTTTATAATAAATAAATAATCAAACTTACAAGCATCAAAAGGCATTTTTAAATTTAAAATTTAAAAAAAAAATATATTTATTACTTGTTACTCTTTTTATAAAAAAAATTAAAATGTCTATATAATTACATGAATTAAAAAACCCATTTATTTATTTATATATACATTATTTTTTTGAAAAAAATTTTTTTTTAAAGATGTCAAAATTGGTTAATGATCCGTATCTTTCCGAAATGAATTAATTCATTAGCGAAAATATACGCCATAGTACAAATTTATGTTGCACGTAATCCACTTTAACAAATAAGATCAAGCTCGTTGAGTGAAAGCTTATATTGAACTCTGCGATAGGATAATGGATTCACAAAAAATCAATTTTGCAAATCCAGGACAGGGTTCCTATTGAACAAACCGAACTTCTGACCATGTTCAAGTTCAAAATGAACTTTTAATTTTCAGCTCATAGTTCACATGAACATGTCTAGGTTCATTAGAAGATAAATCACACTTCAAGTGATATAGATTATCTGCTGGCGTCGATTATTTAACAAGTATGATCGATTATGGCTTTACTTTTGGGTTTGCTCTTGTCAGCTAATTGCAATAATTCGGCGATTGTCAATTAATTAATTTACGAGCAAATTCTTTACCTTGGTTTTCACCTGCGAATCTGCGAGCACGCTCGATGATACAGGATATAAAGTTCCTTTTATTCGCTCATGGCCGATTTATTTATTTTTTATATTTATTGGCCTGTTGCAGCCTCGCTTTGATAACAATAATGATTTTACACAATAACGCTATCAGTATTTCCAATTAACCTTTGGTCACTAATCGTTGTTAACACTCGCTAGTTAACCAACGTTAGTTCTTCCTTACTCACTAAAGTAAATTGCGTTACTGATCATTGTTAACACCAACGTTAATCATACCCCACTAAAGCAAATAAAACGCGACATTTTACCAAAGCCCCACAATCGTTGTCTTTTGTTTATTAACAATTTTTAAGGATTTAAAATATTGATCTACTGTATTATTCTATTAGAACGTTAATTGTGTATTTATTCCCTCTACTCAGACCTGAAGTTGTTCTTCTCTTTTTCAATTAAGTAAGATTTAATAATCGTTTGTTTATCTTCTCACAACACAAGTCTGACTCAAGTCAAGCGTAAATACAATGTATAAATTTTAAGGGGATATTTTAATTGATTGTAAATCAACACTGCTTGTGTTATGCATGATGAATTTATAAAATTGTTGAAAAATCCTGATGCTGGAAACTAAAGATGAAGAAGATGTTGATATAGTTTCTTTCATTTTGGGTTCAAGATCTAAATACGTGAAAATACCCTACAAAAATATATTATGAAAAAACGAGAGAATTTTAAAGTATTACTATACTTAAAATATACTTATATACTCAAAACATACTTAATGTTTACAATACGATTCAGCATACTTGAATACACTTGAAAGATGCTTAAAAGGTTGCATAAAACATACTCGAATCATTACACCATTGAAAAAGGTATCTTAAGCGTGTTTTAAGCATATTTGAGTATAATAATATCAAAACTTTTTATGAAATACTTGTGTCACGGTTCTCGCCTCGACTTTTCATCGATGATATTAAGCAGTTAAGATATTTCTTGAATTAAAAAAATTAGCCTTGATATAGGTGTAATAGTGACATCGAAGAAACAAACAAATTAGGGAAGAGCAAAGTAAAAAATAAAATACGTACAACTGAGCCAGAGTTTTGAAAGTTTACAAAGTCTTTAAAAGAAAGGATAAATCCAACGATAATTGAATCTATAATCTTTTTTTTTTGATATTGCTACCATTTTGAATATAATGAATGATAAAATATGTAGAAAAGAAAATTATTGTAATATAAACCAAAGGTAAGTCGGTTGATTGTTTATTTCTGTTTTCTTTTAATCAAAAAACAATCGAACTTTATAATATTTGTAAAATTATTATATTGACTGTATGGATAAGGACAAAAACTTATTTCTTGATCCCGTAGGCTAATTGATATTCTTTCACCTTCGTTAAATAATCATCATATCCACCTTTTTCTTGAAGATATTCAATAATTTGCTCAAGAGTAACAATTGATATGACTGGAATTCCAAATTCTTGTTCAATCTGTTGTACAGCTGATTTTTCTGAATCAATTCCAATCTCTTGTCTATCAATTGCAACTACTATTCCAACCACAACAGCATTATTCTTTTTGATAATATCAAGGCTCTCTCTGATAGCGGTGCCTGCAGTTATAACATCATCAATAATCAATATTTTTCCTTTTAGTAGCGATCCAACAATATTTCCACCTTCTCCATGATCCTTGATTTCTTTTCTATTAAACGAATAAGGCACATCTTTGTTATAATTGGTTGATAACGCAATGGCTGTTGATGAAACCAATGGTATGGCTTTATAAGCTGGACCAAATATTCCATCATAATCTAGATCTTTTTGATCCTGTATAGTAGAAGCGTAAACAGTGCCTATTGTCGATAAAGATTTGCCAGTACCGAAATTTCCAGCATTAAAAAAATATGGACTTATTCTTCCGGATTTTAGCTTAAAATTACCAAAATTTAAAATATTTTGAGATATTGCATATTCGATGAATTCTTCTTGGTATTTTTTAAGTGACATTACTACCAATTAATAAAGTATATTTTTTCCAATCAGATCTACAATTAAAAAATAAATTTCTTTATGCATCAGCCAATCAACCGTTATGCTGATTTTCTTTTGAAAAACTTTTTCCTTTTTTTTTTGGCTTATAATAATAATAAACAATATTATTGTATTATTGTACTATATATTAATAGATAATACCATATACAAAAACAATAAAAATACTATATATATACACAAAACCAAGTCCTTCCTGTGAAACAAAAAAAATACTTTTTGGGAAATTTCAGCTAGGCTGAACTCGTAGAAATTATGAAAATATTAGTTTCTTTATTGTTGTTTTAACAAAGAAAATCAAAATGATGGGCGTCAGAGAAATTGTCATTCCACCAACAGATGATGAGAGGAACGTACTGGTGGCTCGTAAATACCAAATAGAATTATTCGAAAGGGCTAAAAAGGATAACGTGATCGCTGCTCTGGACACCGGAAGTGGGAAAACTTTCATTTCAGTAATGCTTATAAAAGATGTTGTAGCCGAAGAAAGACAATTAAGAGCGACAAGGCGCGAGGTATTAATCTCTATTTTTATAAAAACTTATTTGAAGTTACAATATAATAAAAAAATTCTCACTTTTTAACTATTTTTTAAAGCTTAAGCTTACCATTTTTCTGGTGAATCTAGTTCCGCTGGTATTCCAACAATCCAAGGTAATCAAAGCAAATTGTGATTTTAAAATACAACATTTATGTGGAGAAATGGGTGTAGACCTTTGGAGTGAGAAAGAATGGAAGAAAAAATTTGAAGAGTATGATGTACTTGTAATGACAGCACAGATTTTCTTAAATATACTGCGACATGGTTTCATTTCATTGTCAAATGTAAGATCAAGAGACTTTTTTAAAATGATTTTTATTTAATATATACACATATAAATTTGCTTATTTTGCTCTAATGATCATCGTTAGGTAAATTTATTAGTATTTGATGAATGCCATCATACTTCTAAAAAGCATCCATACAATTTAATTATGAAGGAATTTTATAATCGTTGTCCAGAAGTTGACAGGCCAAAAATTTTTGGTATGACTGCATCTCCTGTGAACACCCGTAATTCTCTTCTTTCTGCTAGGTATTTTGTTTAATTTAATATGAAATGATCGAATTTTAAACATTGCTTGTAAATTGACCATACTTTATAAAAAATTTATATAAACAGCAATTTGGAAAGTAATTTACACGCAAAGGTTTTTACTGCAAGTGATACTTCAGAACTTCTTAAATATGTTAATAGACCCGAGGAGTTAGCCATAAAATATGATCCGCCGCCAGATTATCAGCAATCTGAACTTTACACAGCTCTTTGGAATGAATGCTTGGGCGCAGAAAACTTTCAAAGTGCTTTTTCTAGTGCTAGTTATGCACTTTCAACATTGGGACCTTGGTGTTCAGATCGTATATGGGAATCTATTTTGGAAGAGAAAGATAGGAATAAGGAAAGGTTGGATGTCAAGAAATTTGATATGGGATTGCTCCAGGAATATGATGAAGAAAAACTAATAACACAAAAGGCTTTAGCGGTTCTTGATAAATGGGTTTTCAAAAAACCTGAACTCGATCATTCTATGCTATCACCCAAAGTGATTCAACTAATTGAGATACTTGCATGTTTTAAAGAACATAATGGCACGGAGAAAAATTTTTGTGGCATTGTATTTGTAGAACGTCGCCACACGGCAAATGTGTTAAACTTTTTGATAAAGGAAATTGGAGTATTGGATTTCATTAAGTCTGCAGTGCTTGTAGGGCACGGTACTAATGAAAATGGTGATATAAATATGAGATTTAAAGAGCAAAACAAAACAATCGAAGAATTTCGTAAAGGTCAAATTAATCTACTAATAGCAACTAACGTAGCTGAAGAAGGCTTAGACATTCAACCATGTAATTTGGTCATTAGGTACAATTTCTATTTTACTTTAAAATATTTGATTAAATTCCATAAAAAAATAAAAAAATTAACGCGGTTTTAAATCATGTATGGTTTTAGATTCGATTTTTTTAATACATTAAGAGCTTACATACAATCACGTGGAAGGGCTCGTCGTAAAGATTCAAAATATATTGTAATGATTGAGCAAGGAAATTTAAAAGAAGAGGGTATACTTAAAGAAATGAAAATAGCTGAAGAGTCCATGAAGAAGTGGTGTAGGATGCTTCCAGAAGATCGTAAAATTCAAGGCAATGATGATGATGATGATGATGATGATGATGATGATGATAACGAGGACGACGATGAATATTATATTATTCCTAAAACAGGGGCCCTTCTAAGTTATGAATCTGCTGTGTCTCTCATTCATTATTACTGTTCAAGCCTTCCAGGAGACAATTATTGTATTTTGCAACCAGAATTTAAAATTGAACGGGAACATTCGGGATATTCGTGTCAGTTAACTTTACCTAGTAATGCTCCTTTTCGTACAGAATCAAGTCATGTTTGTGAAAGTCGACATAAGGCTAAAAAGGTTGCTGCTTTCAAAGCATGCATCAGATTATACAATTTAAAAGCATTAAATGATCATCTCTTGCCTGAAATTGAATGGGTAGAAGAAGATCACGAGATGAAACCAACTAGAGATAATGGTTTAGTTGAAGGAGCACGAAAATCTAAGAGAGCATATAAAATAAAGTTTCCAGATTTATGGTCACTTGATGAAGATGATGTGAATGAAGAAGATAATGTGAACGGTGAAGATGATGTGAATGATGAGGATAATAAGACAACCGAGAACATTGAAAATATCAAGATCACTGAGAACATTGAGAACATTAAGATCACTGAGAAAACCGAGAACATTGAAAATATCAAGATAACGGAGATCACAAAGAACGCTGAGAACATCAATATCACAGAGAAAACTGAAAACATTGAAAATATCAAGATCACAGAGACCATGGAGAAAACTGAGAATATTGTGAACGCTGAGAACACTGAAAATATCAAGACCACCGAGACCACCGAGAAAACCGAGAAAACCGAGAACATCATAGACGTTGAGAAAATCCCAAAGGAGTTATACATTACAATAATAAAGTTGGAATTAGAAGACGAAAAATACGACGGACAATGTTATCGCACATTGTGTTTATTGAGCCGTAAACAAATTCCTCAAGTTCCATCCACCACGTTGTTTTTTCATTCCAACGCCAAAATTTTAAATATATTTCCTTATTCAAAGCCAATCAAAATCGAGTTGGAAAAGTTGGAAATGCTTTTCAAGTTTACGCTTCGTTTATTTACTTCCATAGTAAATAAAGAGTTTGCATGCGATATTGATAAGTTTTCATATCTAGTCGCCCCACTTACTCAATACGCGCCAATTCACGAAAATTCCTTTGATTTTATTGACTGGTGTGAAGTTGAGAAAGCAATAACACACAAACATTTAAAAATTGAACTGGATGATGTGTCAAAGTTGGAGGATGCTGTTATAATCGATTACTCTGATAATTTAAGACGTTATTTTGTACAATCAATCTGTTATGATCTAAACCCATTATCACCAATACCACAAGGAATGGCCATAAGAGAAAAGGGTTGTCAAAATTTTGGTGAATTTTATAAAAAAACATTTGAACTTGAAGTAGAAAATCTTGATCAACCATTAATTAAAGTTAAAAAAATTTCAAGAGTCATGAATTTCTTACAACCCATACCCGGTGCACTTCCTATATTAAAAGGAAGAACAGCAACATACGTAATACCAGAATTCTGCAAAGAGTATTCGATTAAAGCTTCAGTGTTTAGGTCTGCGCTTTTATTACCATCAATATTTACAAGGTTGGATTCACAACTTCTGGCATTAGAATTAAAACATAGATTGGATCTACCTATTGATGACGAATTTATGCTATCAGCATTAACTACACCATCCGCAAATATGGAAATGAATTATGAACGCCTTGAGACCCTTGGTGATTCATTTTTAAAATTTTGCGTGACCGTTAGATTATATGTTTCATTTCCTGAAAAACATGAAGGTCAACTTCATAATCAACGTATTAGGATAATTTGCAATAAGACACTTTATAGAAGTGCAAAAAGATTACGTCTATATGAACATATAAATTCCTTGCCTTTTAATCGTAGAGCATGGAGACCTGCAAATATGATGACTATTACTGATGATCCAGAAAATTCAAAAAAAAATAGAGTTCATGATTTAGCTGATAAAACACTTGCTGACGTGGTAGAAGCTCTTTTAGGAGCAGCATATTTAACCGGGGAGGAACAAGCAGGACTTAAATGCGCTAGGGCATTGGAAGTTCCATTTGATGATATTACCGAATGGGAACAGTTTTCTCAGTGGAATAAAAACCTACCGCGTGTATCTATTAAAGATCATAAAAGCGTAGATATTAAGAGGATTGAGGAAATTTGTGGTTACACTTTTAATAATAAGAACTTAATTGCTGAAGCACTCACACACGCCAGTTTACCCAATTCTACAACCTCGTGTTATCAACGTCTTGAATTTCTAGGTGATGCTATATTAGATTTCTTGACAGTAAAGTATTTATATGAAAAATATCCAGATAGTCCACCAGGAATAATTACAGACCTAAAAGATGCGTCAGTTAATAATCAAATTCTCGGGGCTATTTGTGAAGTAGTTGGGCTCCAAAAACATATCATTCATTTTTCATCAAAATTACTAAGTGCCATTACAAATTTTTCATCTATAATCGAAGATATGAGAGAAAAAAACGAAGATTATGGTGAATATTGGAGCGACTTGGAAGTTCCCAAGGTTATGAGTGATGTAATAGAAAGTATGCTAGGTGCTATATTTGTAGACTCGATGTTTGACCCTAAGGCTCCTCAAAAACTTTTTGATTTATGGATTGAGCCGGTTTTAAGTAAACACGTTACTCCTGATACATTAAAAGTACATCCAGTAAAAAAACTTACAGAAATAATACAAAAGCATGGATGTGCTCAATTTTTGTTAAGGTAAACTTTTAACTTTTAATATGTTTATATATATGTATATTTATTTAAAAAAAAAATAGCAATAATTAATTTTTCTTTTTTTTTCAAAATAGAAATATTACGACAGAAAATATAGATATGGAAAGTCAACAGTGCACAATATTTGTTCATGATACTGTAGTTGGACGTGCAAGTTCCATGAGTAATATACGAGCAGCAAGAAAATTAGCAGCACTGGTTGTTTTAGAAAAAATTGAGAAAGATGAGACGTATCTTGATTCTGTATGTACTTGTTCAGCGTTTCCAAGAGATGATGATATCTTTCTGGATTCAACTGATGATGAGGAATTATTAGAATAATGCGAATATATTTTTTAATATAAATTTTGTCGTTGTTAAGAACCTTTATATTATTAAAAGAGATGCTACATAAGAACGAATATTTGTTATTAAATAATTAATATTTTAACCAAAAAAAATAAAAATAAAAATTTAACATCCATTCAAAAGTTTGCGTAACCACAAATATTGTAATCGCGATTATAAATTAAAAATAAAAATGACATCTGTAAAAAATGACGAAATCAATTTCACTAAACTATTTCTAATATTAATTAATAAAAGTAATGAGAAAAAACCTTTTTTTTGCGATTACATAATAATTTATGTTAATTACAATTTATAATGATAGTTAATATTAATTAATAAATTGCAAGTTTTGTCTCTTCCGAGTTTCTTTTTAACAAAAAAAAAATTTAATATTTCGCATAAATATTTTCTATTGGAAGAATCCAATATTTATTAAGAATTCATGACCAATAAAGCCAAAAAGGGAGGTTGGTTATTGTTACTACACTACTAATATAAATTGATACTACATGATGATTGATATTCATTCCCACTTAATTTTTGTTTAAAGGCCAAAATAAATTCATTTCGTCAAATGGAGCAAGTCAATAACAACGTTGAAAATATAATGAATAATAGTTCGACAAGAAAAAACCTCGGCAATGTTCATATTATGCATTCAGGTGATGGAAAATCCATGGAAAATCCAATCAGTGGTGATAATTTATACACGAATGTTCAGATTACATCATTATCGTTTCCTAATATAAAAATTAAACAAGAAGATGAAATAACATACCAAAATCACGATGATAATAATTATAGAAATGTTAAAAATATTTCTGCATCTTCCTCCGATTCATCCTCGCCACCATCACCTTCTAATTCATCCACCATCATAAATTCCAATATCACAACAAAAATGCCTATCAACACACAAAGAACAACAAGAAGGCAGAATCTACCAACGCCTAGTTTAATTAGACCGTCTGCTGCTCAGATGCCTAGCCCTGACACTTCTCCTTGTGTGCCAACACTAAAGTATCAACATCAAATGCACCAAGATATACTGCAAATCCCATTACACACAGGCAGATATTGTCAATATCAACAAGTAATTCAACCATTCACTCACATTTTTCCAATTCCATACTCTACTCTTCCACCTTATCAGCATCAGCAGCAACAACAACAACAACAACTACCGCAACCACAACGACCATCGCAAATGCAACCGCAAACGCAACCGCAACAACACATCCAAGCCAATCAATCAACATTATCATCAAATGTTGGTGAACAAAATCAATATTTCTTACAACGTTCGTCCATTCCATTACGAAATTATCCACCACCACCACCACCACCACCACAGCAGCAACAAGAACGAAATTTAACGGCACAAACAAAAAGTCAATCAACAATACCGGATATAGAATGTCGAAAAAGAAAGCTTGAACGTAATCGTATTGCTGCAAAACAATGTCGTGAACGTAAAAAAATTTATGTTGCAAAACTTGAATCAAAAGTCACAAGACTTGAGGAAGAAAACGCACATTTACGACGAGAGCTTGACGAATTAAATACACGACTTCAGTTTAATCCTGTGGATGCTCAAGAACGTTTGGGATTACACGTGTTAATTGAAGATTTGAAATCTAAAGTGAACAATGAAATAATCAAAATGGATGTTAACCAAAATAAAATTTGAAAAATGAATGAATGGACTGTACAAATGATAATCGTTGTATACTAATTACATAAAGCTTTCAGGATTAACACTAATAATATTGTAATGTTTCATCCATTTTTTTATTCGTCTAATTTTCTTGGTTATTCAATATTCATTAATTGATTACCTGGACATGTTCCTTCAAGACTCTACGAAAACACAATATTTTATTGGTTTAAATGAATCTTTTCCTTATTACATACCAAGCTGGTGAGGTGATGAGTTCAAGCCAATCAATGAAAGCGCTAGAAAAACGCTAGATAAAATGAAAAGGACTTTTCCCGAATAATTGAGAAGTCCTACGGGATAAATACCTGACTTTGGTATCTTTTATTATCAAACAATAAGTGGAGCTATAAAAAATCTACTTAATTAGCGGGGCAAGTTGTTGTGTGCTGTCAATAGCCACGATTATTTATTACATTTCTAAAAAAACTAAAATAATTTGCCTATTTACCTTGAAAAAGACTTTCCAACTATGTAATCATAAGACTTCACATATTATTTTCCTCATTATGAAGGTTTCTCACTTTTATTCTGCTTTCTTTTCCTAAAGTTCTTTCTTCTTGGTAAATTTTATAGGCAGTTTTCATTTTCCTTAAAATAATTCGTGTTAATTCCGTGTTACATTATAAAAGCCAATTGGTCAGGTACGACAGACAAATGAAAACAAGAAAACCCAGCTAAACAACAAAATGTTCATAGTAGCTTCTACCAGTATTGACGAACAACAACAACAAATGCTTATCCAGTTCAAATGACAGCTTTTACTAATAATGATGAATGACAAAATGTTTACCCAAACCAAAAGGCAGCAGCTTCTACTAATATTTTACATCATATAAACGGCACCAATCCTTTCTCTAACACCAATGAACATCAATATTATCAACAACAACAAAAACCAATTGTTTAACCAGCCCAGAGATGGCTTTCTCTAATATTGACGAATGTCAACATTATTTATATTGATTATACAACAAAAATCAATAACGGGTTTTATATGTGCGTGAAATTTTTTTTAATTTTTATTATGTAAATCAATACCAACCAAAGTATTGTACAACAAAGAACAACAGAACTACTTTGAACACCCCCTATTGTCATAATTTAAAAATAGTAAAAGGTTTGTTTATATTAAATTATCATTTATGAAATTTTTTAAAGTAATTTTTTACGCCTTTATATTAAAGAATTGAAAATCATATACAATTAAAATCTCATCCCTCTATAGTAAATAGTAATGATAATGGATAATGACTATTCTGTACATATTAATATACACAAATTTCACAATCAAAAATGATTTTTATAATAGTTCATTTGGTGATGAAACGGATTAAACCTGATTTATATTATTATTAGTGATACGCAAAAAAAATTTTAAAAAAATTTGAAAATATTAAAAATTAACTTTTAATTCGCGTAGTAAGTAATATTTAGTTTCTTTGATGTAATTAATTAATAATTCACTCCTCAAAAAACCACCTATACGAAGTTATTTTTTAATTGGTTGACCGTTGACAATGCCCATCGTGAATGGTACAATAATATAAACAAACAAACAAATAAATAAGATGAACAAATGAATGCATGAATTAGTCGAAATCGTGTGAATCGAGTAGAATGTGAATAAAAATAAATATAATCAATCATCATAGTAATAATAATAGTAATGATATTTTATTTTTTTCATTTGCGATTTAAAAAAAGTTAGTTAAAAAATATTGCGAAATGAAGTACAAAAAGAACAAAGAAAATATTAAATAATAATAATAATAATAAATTGTTTTCGATGAGATTTTAGCCAAAATAAATAAATAGATGATATAAGTGTGTATGTATGGTGGATGGGTGGATTGATAGTGATAATGATGGTCGTTTGATAATAACTATTTTACAAATAAGAAAGTAATATATGGCAAAAGTGTGGTAAAATTTTTAATTGGTCGGATTGATAGTGATAATGATAAAAACAAATATGGGTTTTTACAAATAAGGATGAAAAGTAATGTTGGTAAAATTTTTAATTGGTCAGTTAGATATTTAGTGGGAAAATGTTTATTTTTTCTATTAATTGATTATTAAGAGAATAATGTAAAGAATAATTGTCATTATATTATTATTCATTCATCAGCCAACAACAATGATATATATAATAATAATACTATTTACAAAAAGGAAAAAACTATTATATAATATAATAAAAAAGAAAGAAAAAAGAAAATTTTTATAATATTATTTATATGTAGTAGTATATATTTTTTTTCTATTGAATTAAAAAATTTTTTTTTGTGAGAAAATAATAATGTTGTTGTTGATGATGAGATGTTGTAAATTTCTGCAATAAAATATTTTACAAAAAAATAAAAAAATAGATATATAATTTATATATTATAATTATTTAAATTTTAATTTGGCATTTCTTCCACTCCCACTCCCGCCACTAAATCTACTAGCTAAACTATGCCTTCTACTTATTGAACGATCAAATAAATCATCATCATTATTATTTCCACCTATCACACTGCTGTCCAATACATAATCCTCATCCTCCGTGAATTCTGCAGCTGAGTAATGACCAATTAACGGTAGCATACGATCTTCCCTATCTGATAATATTGCATCAAGCATATCATCTTCATCTTCTACAATGTTATTGAATTTTCTATTTCTTATTGTTGATACTATTATTGTATTGTTTTTGTCATTATTACTGCTACTATTACTATTATTGCTATTACTATTACTATGATTATCATCTTCTCCTAGTTCATTATTTGGGTCTTGTAAACTAGAATTTTCTTCACTTCCAATTCGGCTTTGAGCCCAATTTTCACTGCCAGTACAAAGTGATGATTTATCGTCACGCTCCTCTTCCTCTTCCTCTTCTGAAAATAGTTCAGATTGTTCACCCTCAACCTCAACCTCAACATACTCAACATCCTCAATCTTGTCTTTTTTATCTTTCTTGATATTTGGACTTTTTTTAGAGCTTACTGCTTCGATACTATCACTATTTGTTAAACTAGTTTTACGATCTTTTGATGATGAATAAGAAATGATAGGTATAGTTGATGATCCACGTGGCTTGGGTAGTTTGGATTGATTCGTCCTATTATTCATACTGTTATTATTAACGTTATTGTTATTATTTGATGATTCTGAATTTTCGACAACATCTTGTTTTTCTTTTTCTTCTTTAACAAGGTTAATACTATTCTGTTTTAATAAAAGCTTTTGTTTTTCTTCTCTTTTTCCTTCGCTATATCTAACTTTCCTTAGTTCTTGATTTAAATCATCGATAATTTTTTGTTTCTGAGCAATATTAGCACGAAGTAGAGTAGCCTGTTTCTCTTGTTTCTCTTCTAATTGTTTAATAGTAATTTGTTTGTCGGATTCTAATTCCAATTTATCCTTTTTTGCTATTAACAATTCATTCTCCAACTCAATAATACGGTTATTTAATTTAGTTATTTTTGAGCACGTGACAACAGATTCAGCATCCGAACTTTCTATTGGATCATTTGTATTTTTTGATTCTTTTGAAATTTCATCTGGTTCCTCTATTGAATTTGATGAATTGTTGTTGATAATCTGCATAAAATCCTGTATATTGTTACTATTATTGTTATTGTTACTATTATTATTATTTAATAACTGATCACGTAACATTTGATTTTCTTTCCTTAACCTTGAAATTTCAATTTCACCTTTCTCCAATTGAGATATTGTTTCTTTAAAAGTCTCTTGCATTTCATTTCCTTGATTCTCCATGACTATTACTTTAGTAGCCCAGATTTGCATTTCCTCGCCAAATTTTTCGCGAGACTCATTGAACAATTTATTTAATTGAGCCCTACCTTTTGATTCTTTGACCAAAGCTTTCTTAAGTGTTTGTATATCACTTTCTAATGCATTAATATCTTCACTGTGAGTTTTTTCTAGATCTTGTAGTCTTTGTAGTGTTTGGTCATAGGCTGATTGTAGTTCACGTCTTTTTTCACGCTCTTTATTCAATAAATAAAGAAGTGATTTTGTTGTATTTGTTTCATCTATATTGTTGTTATTGTTGTTGTTTTTGTTGTTGGTTGTATTTAATGTTGCTGAAGATGAAGATGATGAAGCATTTGTGCTAGTTGGAGAATGGTGATGAATGTGCGAAGATTGAATTGGTAATGAGTGTCTCTGTTAAATAAAATATGTGTAAATTAAATATGCATGTGTGTATATATATATATGATATATATGCAAGTGCATATATATGTATAATTTATAAAATATAATGAAAAAGAAATTATTTCCGAATAAAGAAATTAAAAGACCAAATATGGAATTTGAAGTTTTTTATCTGCATGTATGCATGTGTGTGGAGGAATGTGGGTAAATGGATGTATGAATGTGTGGATGATTAAATAAAAAGCATTATTTAAAAAATGCAATTTTTTTGTTTATTTGTTATTTGTTTCAAAAAATTTTTAGGTCAATTGAATAAACAAAAAATTAATTTAAATGGCAAAAAATAATAATATGATGATATCATCATATTGTCTTTTCTTTTTAGATAAATGAAAAAATTTATCATAATAACAATAACAAGAACTTACATTATAGTTTGTTTTGTATAATTCATCGTCGGTTTCCCATTTTCTCCCACCACGTATTCTACTACTGTTATGTATTGATTTTGATAATAATAGATTATTATTATTATTGCTACTATTATTACTACCATTACTATAATTATTATTGCGTATATCTTCTCTTATTTCAAATTTTTTGTATGAAGGATAATTAAAACCATGAGTTGTTGAATTTGACGAAGAGGAAGAAACGCTCCACCTGTGATTATTATTATTATATTTTAGATCAAATTTTCTTATATCATAGGAATCACTTTCTTCGCCTTCGTCAAATGAAGAAGAAGCGTAATCAAGATTTGTAGTGGTTGAAATATTCTTTGTGTATCGTGTCGATGATATCGATGATGTTGATGTTGGTGATGTTGTTGCAGTGGAAATGGTAGTATTAGTGTTTGGCGATGTTGATGATGTATTATCATTATTATTAGTTGAGTAATCTGTCGTCATATTGTTATCGTTGCTACTATTAGTATTACTGAAGTTATTGAATATTGAATATTTTCTAACATTCGGTTAATATTAAAAAAATTGAATAATGCGTAAAAATTATATTAATATGATTTGTTGACTAATTCTAGTAATTTCCTAATAGTAGATACTTTAATTAAAAAAATTTTTTTTTTGTAAAATAAATTCTAATTCGGGTGTCCAGCTCCCTTTATATTAATAATAATAATTATTATTATTATATATTTATTAAAAATATTTAAAATTTTTTTCTAAATCTAAAAAAAAATTTAAAATTCTGGGAAAAAAAAAGACACTTTTTTCTTCCGGATATTACTTATATATATATATATTATGTATGTGATATAATATAATAATATATTAAATATATCTGATTGTCAAAGTCTATAAACGAAAAAGGGGTTTTTGGTTTTTTTTCTAAAGAAAAAAATTAAAAGTTAAAATAGAAAAAAATTAATGTTTTGTTACATACATTTTGGAGAAAAAATAATGTAACGCAAAAGTGACGATACAATTACGTATTATTAATTGGATAAGCAAGCATTAGGTGATGCGGAGATCTCTAATCTGGAAAAAAAATATTTTGATCACCAAATATATTTTGTGGAAATGAACATCTTTAAAAATGGCAAAAACAAAAATTCTCAACCCCAAAGATTTTGTAATTATTACTTTATATATTTTGTATGAATTAATTTTTTTTATAATACAGCGTATATTATTAATATATATTATATATAAATATAATAATAATATATGTAGTATATACTATATAAATATATATACGCTATCTAATCGTCAAACATTTAATATCATCTACCTTGTGTGTGGAGAAATGTTTCTCAAATTTAAAGAAATTGACATTATTCAATTAAAGAAGAAAAAGAACCATTGTATATATTAACTACATATAAATAAATAAATAAATAATAAATAGAAGTAATTATGCATATTTCGTAGCCGAGGTGATACTCTGAACAAATTATCTAATATTGCATATCGATTGATGATACTTTATAATCGTCGCGTATCTTTTCTTTTTGCCTTAATATATTTATGTAAAATATGTAGAACGCGCGGATATTATGAATGAAATCAAATCAAAAAAATTCAATTTAACTTCTCGATTAGTATTCTTTTTATTAAAATTATACATAATAATATACATACATGCATTAATTCTTCCATATAAAGAAACATTTAGCAAATATGTGTGTTTCTCTCGCTTTTTTCTTGACTTATTATTTATTTAAAATAAACAAAAAACAAAGAAAAAATAAAAATGACACGTGCATATTGCGGTAGGATAATTTTATTGGATGAACTGTGTAATTCATTGGATAATTGAATGTGGCACTATATCACGTGATGCGCAAGGAAGTGTTTCAGATATATATTTGTAAAATTTATTATATAATGATCAAATAGAAAAACTTTAATTTTCATTGTTTTTTTTTAAAAATAAAAAAGATTAATTGTTAAAAATAAAAATCCCTTAAACCAATTAAACCTAAAAATTAAAAAGGCTTGTACATTTAATAATTATTTATGTAAATGAATAAAAATAAAATAATAAATTTTCAAAAGTTAATTAAAATTTTTTACATTTTTATCGTTATTGATAACCTTTTTCTTTCTTTAATTTTCTTTCTTTACTTGTAAAAAAATTTTTCATGTCAAAGTTAATTTATAAAGAAAAATAACAATTAACTCTAAAAAAGAACATTTAAATTAACAATTAACATAATAACTATATTCAGCCATATCTGTATATATTTATACTATTTATATAATATATAATATATGTTATTATTGTCATCCATCGTCATTCATTAACCTTTTTTCATTAATATATAAATAATCCCCTTTCCAAACTATATATAGAAGTAAATTTACTTTTTGAAATAGTTTTTTGGGTTTGTAGATTTTATTTTTTAATTTATTTTTTAAATTTTTTTTCATTGACGAGGTTTTTCCTCATTTCTCCTCTTCGTAATTTCTTTTTGTTCTTGGCTGTGGTTTTTAATTCACCAAGAAAACAAATTTTTTCTTTTCTTTCTCTTTAATCCAAGAGAAGAAAAAAAACCATTTTTAATGTATTATTTTTATATAACGTTTTTTAACGAAATATTTTTTATACACATTATATAGTGTAATAATATATCAATCAATCAATCAATCAATCAATCAATCAATCAATAAATCAATCAATCAATCAATCAACAAATAATTAAATATAATAATAATGTCAACTTTAACATCAAATGAAATTGGCGACGATTTGTTTCGTAGTGCTAAAAGCAAACTTCTTTCTTTATCAAACAAAAATCAAGAAGTAAGTACAAATTTTTATATATTTCGTTTCGCTCTTGAAAATTATAAATTAATTACTTGATCAATCGACTAATTAATTTATCATCTCTTTAATAATATACTCATTCCATTCACAACAATAAATTACGTAAAAAAGAGGCTTGATCAATTAAACATATTACAAAAATCAAAACCTCAAGCATTAAATGCGATAAGTAATGGTTTAGAAACAATTCCGGATCAGAACTTATCTGGTAATGAAATAAATAATATACTAAATAATTTAAACTCGAGACGAAGAAATCTTAATCCTGATCACAGCCACATTCACCATAATTCCAACAACAGTAATCTTTTTCAAAAACGACATCATCACACATCATCTTCATCATCAACAACATCAACTTCTTCCGTCATTTCAACAGCATCGATATTAAACAAAGGCTGTAATGATATAATGGATTTTGATAGCAATAATGATAACAATGATGATGATGATATTAATGATAATGAACGTAATATTTTGGATTTAAATTTAAATAATTTAAATTTAAAAAATGACAATTATAAAAACACTACAAAAAGTAATAGCAATAATAGTAATAATAATAGTAATAATAGTAATAATAATAATAATAGTAATAATAACAACAGTCATAGCAACAACAATAATAGTAACAATAATCATGAGCTTTCAAGCTCGGAAAACATTTACAACGATGAAAATATTAATCCTGATATAACTACCAATGATAATGACGATTTAGCGATTTCTAGTAATTCATCATCAAACAAAAGAAAACATTATAAATCCCATCCATCGTTAATAATAAATACAAAAACTTTCCCTTCAACTTCCACTGGCAACAACGGTAGTTCTATTAATATCATTCCTCCTCCTACTACTACTATTTCAACTGCTACCTCAGCAACAAATGCATCCATCATTGCCTCCTCCAATAACCACACCAACGCATCTATGTTGTTGCCGTCATCTTTAAAAGTTCCTAATCGTCTAATAACTCCTGAATCCTCTGATTCTGAATTTGATATATCAGAATTAGATAACCTCAACACTCATTTAACACTTCCTCCTTCATTTGGTAAAAGAAACAATAGTATCAGCAACGACAACACTAATCACCGTGTTGCCCGTCATAGTTCTGCTGAACTATATAATGGTAATAATCATCTTTATAATAATAATAAACGTAATAATATTTATCATGATTATAATAATAATTATCGTTCAGCAATGGAAGGTGTCATAATCGAAGAAGAAAGAGGTGGATTACTTGACATAATTGAAAATAATAACGACCTACAAAATCAACATCATCATCAAAATAATAATTATCATAATTCAATTATGAAAAGATCAACAACAACTGTAGCTACAGCTGCCAGCACTATACCATCATCATCGTCATCATCGTCATCATCAGCTTCATTAATAAATCTTAAAAAACAAATATTATTACAACAGCAACAAAACCCTCAAAGACCCACCAACCAAAATGATGATTTGTACTCAATAAATGAAGGGATTGATGATAACAGCAGCGTAATGTCAAATGAATCTTTATTAGAAGAATTAAGATCAAGAGTTCAAAGACTTGAAGAAGATGCAATTAATGGTAGTAATGGAAATAATAATGAAAAAAGAAGACAAAAAAGAAATAATAATAATCAACAAAATAATGATCCATTAATGTCCCCAACTGGTTTATCACCGGATAGTTCACAAGCTGGTTCAAGTAATTTTACAACAGCATCAACGAATATTTCAAGAAATTCCTCAATGTCAACAAGTAATATAGTTAAACATCAAAAACATTTACAGAATGCTTTTGAAGTTTTTGAAAAAAGTTTTAGTACTTCTGCTGCTGATCAAAAACAACATGATATTACACCCCCACCTTCTCATACTATGGCTATGGTAGTTTCGTCTGCTTTACTAATAAATCAAAAACTACGTTCAACAATGAACCAATTGGATGTTGATTATCAACAACAGCAACAGCAACCATCACAACAACAACCATTACGATCTACTGAAAAATCTTTAAAATCTTTAATAAAAACTAGTGATGAACAAATTCGCAGTTTAACTGAATGCTTGTTAGCTTTGTCACCTCCAAAAAAAATAGTTTCTTCTTCCTCCAAAAGAATATCGTTGGACAATAATAATAATAATAAAGATTACTTACAAATGCCAACTCCACATTCAATACGTTCCATTTCTCCTATACAACGTGTGACTTCTGCTCCTATAATCCCCCCCCCTCATTCTCTACTGAATAATACTCCTGATCTTTCACAACAACAACAACTATTATTACAACAATTACAATTGCAACAATTACAACAATTGCAACAACTACAACAAAATCAATCATCATCATATCAACAACCATCATCACATTATCATAGTAATAATAGTAATGAGATGGATCATTCAAGATCAACAGCACGTCGTATCTTATCTAATCCATCATCACCAGGTTTACCACCACAACATCAACAAGATGCGGTTGATCAACCACTATCACTCAATCCTTATTCTACTGCATCACCAACAGCAACATCAACATCTTCACGATTATTAGATTATAAAGAACGTCGTTCACGTCGTTTTTCTAGTGGTAATTATGGTGCTTCAACATATTTTAGTACCGGTGGCGCCACTAATATTCACCAATATCTTCATAATAATAACTATAACAACAACAATAATAATAATGATAACAACAACAACAATCTACTTCCTTTGGTACATCCCAATCTTTCTTCGCAATCTCAACAAGCGTCATATGAATTGCCACGTTTAAATCAAAGATATAGTAGTAATCACAACAATAATCATATATCGAGATATAATAATATTAATAACATTAATAATAGTAATGCTAATTCTGCTACTGCTACTAATTCTAATAATATTGATGATATTGATATTGCTAGTGATGATGTTAACGATACTGTTGATACCACATCTATAAATGATAACAATGTTGATAACACTGCTATTAATACAAATAATAGTGATGTCACAACTGAAATTGACACACCAAATAACATTAATATCAGTAATGATACAAATCAAAAAATACATCATCATCAAAGGACAAAATCACGACCGTTGTCACATATTCGTAATAATGAAGACCCAATACTATCACATTCACGTAACAGTTCCATATCATCGCTTTATCGTTCAACTTCCGGTCGATCAACTTATAATAACAATAATAATAATAATAAGCACGTCATCAATGATGAATATGTTGATTCCCCTGTTAATGTGTCGAGGCAATCATCAAAAGTTTACGAATTTTTAAGAAGATGTCCAAATGAAAGGGATCAAACATAACAAAAAAATTATTTATTTCATTATTTATTATTTATTGTTTATTATTTGATTTTTTTTAAATGTATTATATTAATATAGTTAGTTTTCTTTCTTTATATATAAATTCATATCAATTTATTTATTTTATTTATCAAAAAAAAAAATATATATAATTTATTCAGTTTTAAATGTACATTTAACTAGTCCGTATTTGGAACCGCCACAATTGTATATTTACAGTATGTGACTATAATACGCCACACTCATTTTTGAATTATGTTACATCCATAACATACGTAATAATGACGAAATTTAGTTGTCATTGCAAAATCAAGAGTATTACCTCAAATGAAAAAGAAAATATATTATGTGTTAACCAAATTAAAAGGTTAATCATACATAGTAAAGGCTTTATTAAATAGTAACAGGTTTGAGCCGCAGACAGCTATAGTGACTTGTGTCTAAAAATCGTGGATTTTCAAATAAATTAATGAACCATTTATATTCCAAAGTTGTTACACAAACTTACAAAATCCATTATATCTTTACCATTTTAATAAACAACAATATTTTCTCATCAGGTAACATCGGATAAAAATCTTAGTTTCGAGTAAAAAGTAATGCTGTTTGAATAACTATAGCTTTTTACATAAATCAACGCGAGTTTGGATTAATTACGTTTGAGATATTTTAAAACCCCGATTCGTTACACAGACCGTAATTTCTATTTTTATTTTAAAAAAAGGTTCATACCACAAAAAGAAAACAGAATCAAGTATATTAGAAACACACAAGTAGGTACTATATTATAGCTGTTATTTCGTTCAGTTTAAGCTTTAATTAAATTGGTATAACTATTAGTACTTTTTGATTCATCAACGGCGCAACTTCGCCATTACCAATATCATCATTGACCAATTTTGCAAGTAAATTAAATTCTTTTCAAATGTTTTAAATGAATGCTTTATTTTTTAATAATTGAATCCAATTTTTTTATGAATGTCATCTAAGTCACACCAAATATGAAATTCTTTCGAAAGTGATGGTGATTTGGAAGAAAGCAATGGTATTATTATTAATTGTATTGGTGATACTTTCGGAATCATTAGAATTCTAGTGATAATAGTAATGGAATTGAAGATAACGAGGAAGAAAATGCAACAAACAGTAAAAAATCTCCAATGATGATAGCGAGGAAGAAGAGGAGGAAGAACAAAATGAGGAATGTGTTGTCGCAATAGTAGTTGAGAAATCGGGTAGTTTGATTTAATGAAGAAGAAAGTGTATTAGATGATGTTGGTCTAATTTTATCTTGGTTCAGAAATTTTACAATTTATATTAATATTCAATCACCAGTTTCCACACACACACACACATTTTTTTATTTTTATTAACTTGCTATATTTTTTTAGCTTTAATTATAAAATTTGATATTGAATTTACTTGAACTAAAAAAGGTATATGGAATTTTTACTTTGCGTATATATTTCAATCACACATACCATGGACTTCAATAAATATGTTTTGAAATCAATTCCTAAGATTAACAATAAAATTTGGGAGAATATAATAATAATGGACATGTAAAGTTTTCTCTCACGTGATCGGATAATAGTAAGTATTAATTCAAAAACAAACTGGATTTTTAAGGATTGTAATAGGGGCCAATGCAACATGCTTACATATGTCAAAGTTTTTTAAAGTACATAACTAAACCTTCAAAACTTACTATCCAAAGAAGTGTAAAATTTATGAAACCTTCCCATATGAACCATGCCGATCATATGGCCTTTGTCCTTAAATTTAATTCATTCATTCAACAAATAAATCTATGCCCTCCGACACTAATACTAATACAGAATGTATGCATTCAGGGTAAAACGTATCCGTAAATGAATAATAATAATAATTAATTATTCCTGGGTAACATATAAGCCTTGGTGGGCCCTCCTGGTAGGGGGGGAGAGCTTACATGACCCAGGGGTAATTGTTTTAAAACACTGGGTGTAATTCGTGAGAAACAAGGATGGCTCATTACATATAATTTCGGAATAGTCCGGTCAGAGTATAACTTCAAATATAATGTATTGGTGCCAATCATAAGCTCGTTGAATGTGAGGCTCTCAAATGAATTTTATAATGAACGACTGAGCCTTTATGTGAAAAGAAAAGTAAAATAATATATTTTAGACTTTTAATATGGTGTATACTAATATATTTATTTACTTTTGATATTTCTCTTCTCACATTTGAAAATGAAGATAGTATAAAAAGAAAAATAATGATGGTGAATGAAAATTATAAAAAAAGAAATTGATTATTATATTATTATTACCTAATTTAATTTTTAAAAGATATATATTGATTGATGCCATTACCATGTTAAAATCGTAACTAATCAGCAATTCGATTATTAAAAATTTTGGTCAAATATTTGGAATAATACGTGTATATATAGTTCTGTTATAAACAATAATAATCACTTTTCACAAGATCAAATAAAATAAAATAAGTTTTATTTCTTTTTTAATACATTAAATATAGTATGCCCTACATGTGCATCCATATAAAAACTTCCTCATTGATAAATGATCTGCGAACTAAACTGTAAAATATAATAGTGCTACTACTATCTATATAAGTAAAACGCACCATTCAATAATGAACAATAAAAAACAAAAAACGATTAAACCTCGCATCAAAACAGAGACTTCTTCAAAATCGGAGGATTCACCTTCACAAACGCCTACATCACCAAAAAGAAAACAATCAAAAACACCATCTCCGCAAACAACAACGACATTACCTCAAAAAATACAAAGAGAAGAACAAGAAGAAGAACAACTTAAACATAAAGAAAAAAATGAACAATCACAAGAAGAACAGTTAGAGCAATCAGTTCAGAAAGAAGATCAAGATCAAAAACAACAATCAGTTCAAGAAGATCAAGATCAGAAACAACAATCGGATCATAAAGAAGATCAAGATCAGAAACCAGATCAGGACCAAGTGTTACAACAACCTGTGAAAAGAAGGCCAGGCAGACCACGCAAATATGCACCACAAGATCCTTCAAAACAAAAAAAGGCCATTAACAATGATCCAAAAAGATTTGAATACACTCAAGGCGAAGGTTCAACAACAACCAATGGAATGAATAGTATAAATCAATTAAATTATGACAAAATACTTGATGAGAAAGGAGAGAAAAAGATCACCAAAGATGGAATTTTATTAGGAGGTAAAAATTTTTTATTGTCATTATAGCTTTTTATTTAATTACAAATAATAATAATAATAATAATAACAATAATAGTTATTATTATATAGGTAGAAAATTTAAAGTGCCAGTTTTTCAATTACCTAGTGATAATACATGGTATATGTTATCGATGGATGCAGCAAAGGTTTTGGGTTTTCGTGATAGTTATTTATTTTTCTTAAGAAATCCATCATTACAACGAGTTTTTGCTACCGAAGAAGAAAGAGAATTCTTGATCAAAATAGGAATCTTACCTGCTGCATATCGCAGTAGGAATATTACTTTGGTGTCGGCTAGATCTACATACAGATTATTTGGTTCTAGAGTAATTCATAATGGAAAAAGAAAAAAAGATGATTATTTTGAGTCAAATTTGAGATATGATGATGATTTAAGTGATAAAGGAAATGATTCAGAAACTGAAAATGCAAACAATATCCTATCAAAAAAATTTAACAATAAAATAACAAAACCACGAAATCTTGCAAATGAGGCTTCGTGGATGTATCAATCAGCACTTCATGCCAGAGATTATAATACTAGATTGAAAATTCACCGTAAAGATAAACCTAAATTTTATGATGCTCATATCAATACTGAACTAGTCCCACAGGCGACACAGCCAACTCGAATCAAAGTGGAAACAATTTCAAAACCTGTATTTTTACCACTAAATAGTAATCATTCTCCAAAAATTCCTAAGATTAAATTTGAACCAACACCTTTTAATCCTTTAAAAAATTTAAGCCCAGAGATTTTAGAAGTAGTGCCACCTGAGATTTGTAAAATTATTGATGATATGAATAAAAATATTAAAGATGATTGTATTGATGATGAACAAGATAAATATCCTATTGCATTGATGGATCATCAATTTCAATCATCGTATCCATTGTAAGTAAATTAAATGAAAAAAAAAATTTTTATTTTAAAATTTTTTGTTTGCGTTTATCCTATTAATCTTGAGAAAATAATTATGTGTATATATTTAAACTAATTAAAATATAAATTTTGAATTAGGCACCGAACACGTTTTGGCCATGAAATTCCTGAAGCTTTAACAAAAAATTTTAATGAGTTAAATTCAAATACAAGTTTATTACAAAAATCACCATCTGTGCAATTTCCATTATCTAAAACTAATTTTACATTATCATCACCAACAATAACAGCACCAGAAACACCAGAAACACCAGCTATATCAACAATAGCAGACATATCAACAATAGCAGACACATCAACAATAGCAGCCACGTCAGTCTTAGCATCACAATCAATCCCACAACTTCCAGAGAATGTATGTGCAATGTGTTTTTCAACAACTTCACCTGATAATACAATTCCAATTAATGATGCGCCATGTTCAAATGAATACACTACAAAATGTTCTCACTGTAATCGTAATTATCACCCTTTATGTTTAGGACTTACTACCACTAGACTAATTGTTGCAATGGAAAGTTACCCATGGCAATGTAATGATTGTAAAACCTGCGTTGTGTGTCGAACATCAGGTGATGAAGCTACTTTACTAATTTGTGATGATTGTGATCGCGGTTGGCATATTAATTGTAGTGAACCAAAAGTTAATGAAGTTCCACAAGGTGGTTAATTATTTATTGTTACTACTACTGCTATTAATTATTATATTAATATAATTGTATTTTTTTATTAATATTTATGTTTGTTTGTTTGCTTGCTTATTTATTTATTTATTTACATTGAAATAATTAGGTCCATGGTTATGCTCAATTTGCGCACAATGCAATTCATGTGGTGAAAAGGCCAAATCGTTGGATAATGCAGCAAAGGATTACCTTCATCTTGAAGCAACGTCAGGTCAACCAAGTTCAAACTATCCAATTTATTTAGCTACAATATGTAACAAATGTAGTTTAAACTTCAAGGCAGACAGGTTTTGTCCAATGTGTTTGAAAACATTCTCCGAAGAAGGAGCAATGGAAGAAAATGAAGATGAAGATCGTGATATGGTATGTTGTGATGAGTGTGATCGATGGATACATGTAAGATGTGATCTTGAGATCACTCCAAATAGATATGAGGAATTGCAAGAAAATCCTAGCGCAGGATATAAGTGTCCACTTTGTGAAGGGAGAATTAAGGAATTAAAATATGGTGACCAGAAAGAACGTGATGCATTGGCCGGTAATCCTGTAGCAAAACCTGTTGCACAGGTCGCAGGACGTAAATTGATTAGGGGTATTGTGGAATTTAAAGGTAAAAGAGTTGTGGTACCAGAAATTTGTGGGTGGGGAAAATTGGCAATGTAAATGAATTTAATAATTGGTTGGTTGGTATTGTAAAAAATATATGGAAATGATGTGAAGACTTTTTGGTTTCAAAATATATATTATAGTAAGAAAATCTGTTTATGTTAAATACAAAGAATGCTAATTATAATTACATGACTTTGTTTAATTAAAATTTTTGTTTCAATACAATAATACAAATAATATATATTTTCTAATTTCAAATAATGATGATTAGTATGTATCTGATAACACAAAATTTAAATCATAATGAAATCCTAAATTCTATAAGGTGTAAAATATTGTATTCAATATAAATTTTTTTTAGAAAAAAAAAACTATACACAAGAAAATTTATTTTGCCAATTCACCAGCTAATATGGTTCCAAGTTTTCCATATTTGTTTAAATCACTTCTAGTAGGTGCTAAAAGATGTGGTCCTTTTTTTGTAAGATCTGGTAAATAATTTGCAGGCATTCCAAATCCAACAGATGTCATTTCCACCAGATCTACAACAGCTTGGTGTAATTGTTTGCCCTATTGACTTATGATTGTTGACCATATATCCTTGGGAGCTATCATAAATAAAATAATATACTATTTATATCATATTGTATGATAAATTTTAATTTTCAAATATTACTAACCTTCAGGCACAACAGGATCAGAATTAAGTTGTGGAAACTTTGTTTGTTCAGGAAGCTCACCAATTCTCCAAAAAAATCTCCATTTTGGATCAGGTCTTTCTGAAATCAAAGGTCGACTTTCTTTTGGGATCTTTTTCATAAAATAAATAAATAAATTATTATTATTATTATTATTATTATTATTATTATATTCACTATTGTGATTTATAATTATGGAAGTTTTCATGTTATATATATACTTGTTCAATTATCTTTTGACAATTAATATCACGATGACATTTTGGTTCTTCTATCAATTCAGGTGTTGCATCAACTTGGTATCCAACTTCTGGACGCGCATCTTTAAGTTTTGTCTTTTTGGGGGGTTTCAATTAATACTACACTACTACTAATAATACTAAACACTATAATCATAAGGCTGATCAAAATAATCTTCAAGTAAATCCTAAAACAAATTTGAATAGAATAGAATAAATCGATTAATGGTTGATTTGTTGAGTGGACAGTGAGAGTATATTCAATTATCATGCTTACTAAAAACCTGGAATTATCATCTTCCGTCACACGAGGATCTTTAATCAATAAGGCACCATAATCTTTTAATGCTTTTGCTGTCTATTAGATACATGTACACATGCAAATTTTACTTTCGATTCACGGTTTCTTAAAATAAAAATTATATATATAAAAAGGGAAAGAAAGTGTAAACGATTTCTATTAACTTTATGACATTCTTCAATTGCCAATTCAGAATTCTTATCTTTCAAGTATAAACCAAGATCAATAATTGGAAGACTACAAGTTATTGTTGACATTTATTATTTTTTGGTTTATTTTGTTGTTGTTGTTGATTATTAGTTTTTTGTTTTTTGTTATTATATTCTTTAAAAAGTTGAAAAAAATTGAGACTATTGAAGTTGATAAATTGGATACTTGTTATAATTAAAAAAAATGGCTACAATTAGATTGTAGAATATTTGTAAGTTTAATAATCAGGTGGTATAAACAAACAAACAGCATTTGGGTGGGTTGTATATAGTATTTTATTCTTCATAAAAAATATCACAATTAATGTTTACATCAAAATCAAGATTTAGCAATTATCCGAATTAGCCACGTGCGCAAACTTAAAATTCCAAATTCACGCACTGTGCCTCTACGTGATGCCTTGGATAGTCCAGCCAAATTGAAGGAGTTGACTAATTCAACATAAAATTTTTGGAGAGCATCTAGATTTTACTCCTCCACATACCTTGGTTGCAAGGCCTAGAACATGTGCCAAATTAGCAACAGTTTAAGATTACTTGCATTAAAACTATATATTAATATGTCTGATACCAGGAGCTAAACTCCAATTGTTTTATTTTATTTAACAATGCTTGATCTGGGATTGATAATCACAATATGATAGATGATTGGTTGTTTATGGATTTTGCTTTAAACCAAAGATTAATCAAGGCTCTGAACAAACCAACAAAATTCGAACTGAATATATACTAACTATATAATACATATTAATGTGAATGAATCGTGATAAATCTTTTAAGCACATTGCTATTTACTTAAACATAAAAGTAGGCAAATAATTTTGATGGTAGAATTGCTCAACGCCACAATTGTACTATTGTGTAGATTGAGTTGCCAGGATCTCTTAACTTCTTATTGATTATTTTCTTAATCCTATGTCCTACTTTCTCACAGATAAGTTTTTCTTTTGTAAAGGCACAAGGTACATTTGCAAAATCACCACTATAAAAGTTTCTTATCACATTCTTTATTACTGAACATCAATACCAACTATTATCCATTGCTGATGTTTCTCAGAAATTTCAATGGGGCCTAAATTCTCCTTTTTCCATCATCCCAAATTACAGACAATTTTCAATTCTAATTGATAAAGCGATGAAGGTGATAGATATTATTATTAAATTTATATTGGTAAAAAAATTTTTTATGTAAGAAAATCGTTTCATGAAAGATCTGCAATAATAATAATGCACTTTTGCTTTCCACATTCAGATATGGAATCAATTTACATAAGGTCTATATACATTGCCAGAAGTATTTTGAAGAAAGAGCAGGATGAAAAAAATTGTACTTTGTATATTTAAACCAAAGCTATCAAAAAATATTTAGATGAAGAGTTAGTTATTTACGAGATTTATCAAAATGAGTTGAAAGAAAAAATCAATCAATAGACAGACGTTACCAAGGACCAAAAAAAAATGGATTTTCTTATTGAAGAATTCTTAAATCAATCGAAATCTAATGCTCACCTCAATTATAGGTTTTCACAATTTTGGACTAATAAATAAATTGCATCGCCTAGGTAATAAAATACCAAGAACATGCAAAAATGAGACTTTAAGGAACCAAATTTGGAAAGGACCACACAGTAATGTCAATCTACATATTAAAACGCGTGTGTTATTCCTCAATCCATTTATTCTACAATCACAACCCATAGTTCCTTAAAATAATATTAAACCTGACATATTGATTGAGATTAGGGGTCAGGTTTAAATAAATTTATCATTTAATGGTATGCATAGTGATGTTAGCCGTTTAAAAATCCTTAGCCGGCTAAGCCGTTTACTACCTAAATTGGTAATTCTATTTCTATAACCAGAAAGTAATACGGAAATCTATTACCAAATTTAGAAATTATGTATGCAGATTATTAGCCGGCTAACATCACTAGGTATGCATTCCCCTTCCTGTTATCCCAATTGCAATGTCTGTGGTGGCAAAAAATCATTTCTACTTCCAGTACTTTCTCTACTCTATCCACTTTGCAAATCTCAAATGTCAAGTATTTATATGATAGTAATTATTCTTCAATTAAAAGGATACAGCACTCTTTCTTTGCTAATGCTGCCATTTCCTGTTAAATTCCTCACTTGTTAAGGATCTACATGTGATGGTTGACTATTTCTCTGTTTCAAATAAGGTTGCTTGCTGAAACTGCTGAAATAGTTTTGGCAAATTGTTCTGAAATGCTGAAAGTGCCGAAAGTGCCTATAGCTGACTTTTGGTATAATTGCTAGTAAGGTTTTAATATAGTTTCGTGGACATTGACTATTTTAGTTAACTAACTAATAGTATAATTGACTAAATTTTTTTGATCAACTAATATTAATATTCAAATAAACAATCAACTAAATGATTGACTGTTTTAATTGATTATTTAGAGTTTCTATTCATAATACAAATTCTTATTCAAATTATTCGTAATACTAATACTAATTCGAATAATTTGTTTTTGTCATTTTTGGCATTTTTGTCATTTTGTCAGTTTCAGCATTTTTTGGCATTTTTGTCAGTTTTGACATTTTGGCCAGTTTTGACATTTTGGCATTTTCGGCATTATGTAGGAGGTTTTACCTTTCAGCATCAGGCTAAACAGATTTTGATGGGCAACCTTAGTTTCAAAAGACACAGGGGATACTAATTCAACTTTTTCAATGGGAGCATCATTGTCTAATTAAATCAAAATTAAATACACAGTAAGTCTCGGTATAATGGATATGTTTGTTCCAAGAAATTTATCCGCTACACCGATTAAATCATGTGATACATATTATGTTAAAAAACTAATTTTATTTTTAATAATATGAATGCAAATAATAATAATGATGATAAAAATACAGTTGGTAAAAAATTAAAAAAAAATAATTTCATTCACTTAAAACATTGACATTATATTAATCTTTCATTCTTGTTTGCACTTGTTCTTGAGAATTTTTGTAAGAAATTTCACTTTTTAATCTTTTGACATTTCTAATTACTTGAAAATCATATCTAAAATTTTTTGCTGTACATATTTAAGTACAGTTTCTGGAGCTTTTACAGCTTCCATATTAGTGATCATTAGCTCAGGTTCATTGTTTCATTTGTTTCATCATCATCAACTTCACTTTGTCCTTTTACAATATTTATGATTTTAGCACATAAAGAAATAAAAGGAAATGACATGTTGATAGTGTCATTGCCAAGAAATAGCTAGCAATATGTTAGATTAAATTGTGGATGTATTGCTGATTATTACAATCCATTTTAAATAAATTGCGCATCATTACTCTTATTGGCTAAAAATAGTGAAGATCCTCATTATCTGTAATATCAAGAAAAATTTATTACAAGTGATATTAATATATATGAATTTTTAAAAAATATCCGGATATGAATTTAAAGCTTTGCCATTCAGACAAAGTCTCACTTACATCAATTTCAGAAACCTTGAGAATTCATCTACCATTATTATTTTGGATCGTTGATATTGCTTCTTCTTCCAATTTATTTATATCATCAGATGATGATGGAAGGTTATAAAAAGGATTCCGATGAAGATGATGTGTTTTGTTCAAGAAAATGCAAAGTCAAAATTTTACTAGAGTAAAAACAAGTGGTGATAATTACCATTCTTATGATAAACACTCATTTATATGTGTCTTTATTGTGGGTTTCTTTCTTCCTTTATTCCCATTTTTAGAAAAAAATAATCACATAAACAAAATAAATAATAATAATAATTATTATTGGCACTTGGTGTTGTACAAAAAATTTTTTGTGTGTAACAAATGCAAATTAGAAAAACAATTGTTAATAAGCATATTATTGGAGAGTAGAATAACACAAATCACATTATTTGTACTGTCCCAAGAGGTATAAATACATTTGGTTTTAGACCAAGTTAATAACAATATTGTTGATAACAATCTTGACTATAATAACTCCTAACACTCTAAATAAAACATATAACCCTTACATAAAATAGTCTTTGACTGTAATTAACTACTAAATCCAGTGTGATTGATTCCAGCCCTTCTATGATTAATGGTCTGACCAACCTTTAATTATTAGTTGGGAACCCTTTTAATTATTAAACATATTGGGACGCCTTTGGAATATAAATGGATACACTAACTTAGGGATCTTTTATCCAGACTATGGGTTGTAAGATAAAATTGTTATTGGTTGTAAATCAGAGGTTCTAGGAAAACCAGACATGTGCCATAGGTAAGCTATCTAGACTAAAGGTTGTAAGATAGTGAGATCAACTGTAATTTGGAGGTTCTAGGAAAACTAGACATGTGTTAATATTTAGACTTAGGGTCAGTAGGTATAATTATGGGCTGTAGTTCAGGGGCAAAGTAAGTCCAGCTGTGTGCCAAACATATGGCTGGTAAGTAAGTAATTTGGATTGCATGCTCACAATATAAATTCTATATATATTATATGATTGTTAAGTATATCAATATAATTGGATTTTGATAAGCTGTGGAATCAATCCTTTTGTTGGTATAATCAGTCTTAACAAAAGAATGAAAATTTTTAGAGGCAATTACTTTGAAGAATTTAGTTAAGTAATAAAAATAAATGAATTATTATTTCAAAAACAATAAAAAATTGAAATGTTGCATGCATGATTTCATTGGTTAACTTCACTTGGTTTTGTGGTACAATAATAGCCAATGATTGGATTTTATCTAGTGATGTTAGCCAGTAGAAAAACCTCAGCCAGCTTAGATGGCTAAGAACTTGAATAGATTTTTTATCTAGCAAATAACATGAATTCACTAAAAATAAGCTGCTTTTATTGTTTTCACCAATACTAAGTTTGTTTCCTTTATTTGTACATGAAATTGATGTGTGAAGATTGTATCCAAAAATTTTTAATAAACATACAAGTATAAATTTTCACACACAACATAAAATCAGCTACAGTCAACCCTCCATAAGTGCATGCTATGTCTCATTCCCAACCTTGGGACTTAAGAGATAAATGCATCCCTCCATAAATGCATTGCATGGTCTTTTCCTAATCCCATTCATATAAAACCATCCTCTAAATGCACGTCCATGACTTTCACATGATCAATGTGCAATGAGAAACAAAATTTGTGTTACATTGATTAATTATTTTTCATCTATATGTGTAATTTACTAATTCTTTCTTTTTAATCTACAAAGAGTTATTATGTAGACAATAAAACTTATAGGCAGAATTTTTAAGAATCACACAGAGGATAAAGAGTTATATGCTTTTTTTTTTAATAGAGTCAATTAAATAATTGTTAATTATAAAGAATTAAATGAATGTACACTAATTCTTCTTTTTTATTTGATAAAGAGTATCAGATAGTGAAACTTATAGGCAAAATCATTAAGAATTAAACAGGGGATAAAGATTTTTTTTTTAATAAAGAATTAAATGAATGTATACTAATTCTTTCTTTTTTAATTGACAAAGGGTTACCAGATAGTGAAACTTATAGGCAAAATCATTAAGAATTAAACAGAGGATAAAGTTTTTTTTTTTTAAATAAAGAATTAAATGAATGTTTACTAATTCTTTCTTTTTAATTGACAGAATAAATAATGCAGATGGTGAAACTTTTATAGGCGAAATTATTATATATAAGAAGGCAAGACAAGAATGAAGAGTTTTAAAAACAAATACATTTACACAAGCTTTAATAAATAAAAAATCATCTGCCATTATTATTACAATAATGAAGATGATGATAGCATTGAACTGGTAATAATAAATGCTGACAGAGCTTCCAAAAGTTTGGAAATTGTCTATGCCTTTTTACTACAACAAGGAAATAATTAAAACAAGTTAATGCTCTTGATCGATATATTAATTTAAAAAATAAATTCAATGAAACAAACTACAATGGATCAATTTTTATAATATAATAATAAATAAAAATTTTTTTAACACAATATCCCGAATGGTCACGTGCAACCAATAAGATTCTTACCTTCCCTAAATGGATCCCTCCATATATGCAGCTCTTGTCCATTCCCAAGGGGGGTGCACTTATGGAAGGTTGACTGTACTTGATATAAAACTTTACATATAATTAACCAATTTATTGATCAAAAAGTTACAAGTTTCTCTCAAAAATAATATATTATGAATGTTGTTTTGGCTCAGTTTATTTATTTATTTTCTTTTTGTAAATACATTTCCACTGAGGAAAACAACCTCTCAGATGGAACCAAGGTTTCTGATAGATTTTATCTAGATTTACTACCTTTTCT